CAATCGCCTGCATCATCAGCATCATAATCGTCATCATCATCATCATCATCATCATCATCATCAGCATGATCATCATCATCATCATCATCATCAGCATCATCATTATCACCATCAGCATCATCATCATCATCGTCATCATCAGCATCATTATCATCATTATCAGCATCCTCATCATCATCATCATCATCATCATCATCATCATCATCAACAGCATCATCATCGTCATCGTCATCCTCATCGTCATCAGCATCATCATCATCATCATCAGCAGCATCGTCACCATCAGTATCAGCATCATCAGTATCAGCATCATCATGATCAGCATCATCATAATCATCACCATCAGCATAATCATCAGCATCAGCAGCAGCATCGCCACCATCATCATCATAATCAGCATCAACATCATTACCATCGGCATCATCATAGCGATCACCGTCCCCATCAGAACCATCAGCGTCACCAGCATCAAAATGATTACAAATAGCAACATTATCCGCATCATCATCACCAGTAGCAGCCGCATCACCATCGAGAATTCAACATCGCAATATTCAATACGATGACCTCCTCCTTGTCATCCTGCACCTTCCTATCCGCCATCCGCTTGTTGTACCTATCTTTCACTACCACCTCTTCCCCCCTCCTTCCCGCCGTTCAGAAGCGAAACACCACCGAGGCGAGACCACCACAACACTGGCCTGCAAAAAGAAACCTTTGATTCGTCGTCTTCCCCTACTCCACCGCTACTTTCCTTTGGTGTCCATCGTGAACGCTGCGCTCCGCCCACCCAGCTGGATGGCCCACCTGGGAACTTGGTACGCCGCGGGCTGCACTTCAGCCTGGGCGGACTCATGAGAGGGAGCGCACGCCAGTGACACTCCAAGGATAAAAGAACCACAGAAAAGCGACGTCACACACGCAGGCACACGCACGCGCGCACGCACGCACGCACGCACTCACGCACACACACACACACACACACACACACACAGACTCGCACACACAAACACACACAAAACAAAAAAACGCACGCACGCACGCACGCACGCAAGCACGCGCGCAAACGCACACGTACACACCCACACACACACACACACATGCACACACACACACAAACCAACGCACCCACTGCTTCCCAAATCGGCCCATAGAGATGTGGGATCGACGGACTGGAGGCAGCGGCGAATGATGAGCACAAAGCAGAAAATGGGAGGATCAAAACGTCCACAGGAGCGCAAGGGAAGCGCGGAACCCAGACATCCCAGCGTGGCCCACAAGCCCTGGCAGCGGAGGAATGACGGGGGGTGGCGGGGGGGGGCCGCGCACTCAGGGGGGTAGGGGGAAGGCTTCCTGGAAGCAGGGGTGCTTCCAGAAAGCACCCGCCCCACACCATCCTCTGCGCGTAGCCGAGGAGGAGCGGGGAGCGCGGAGCGTGCAGACCATGCCGTGGGAGGCGCCTGGAGTACCCAAAAGCTGCGCGCGGGAAGCGCGAGCCGGAGGCGACGGGGGTGGAGCCCTGGAGCCCCGGAGGCGGCGAGGCGGCGCCGCGAGGCACGGGGCACGAGGCTCCACGAGGGCGGAGCGCCTGAGGACAGTGCGCTGCTTGTCATTGTGTCGGCGGTGTCGGCGATTATTGCCGATTGGCGCGAATTGGCCCGCTTTTTGCTGAGGACTTTGCCGCCCCATTCGCTCAAAATTTAATGCACTCTAAACTGCAAAGAAGAGCCTGGCGTGGAGGCGCGCCCGAAGACGTCAGGCGGGCGGAACGAGCACCCTGCACCTCCTCCTCCTCCTCCGAGGCGCGCCCCCAGGGCCCACCGAGATACGTCCCATGTCACGCTGTGCCTGTGCATGCCGTCGTGGACGACGGGGCCGACTGCCCCTGCCGCCTGGGTCGGAATGCCTAGCGCGGACCTGGCCTGCGCGGGCGAAGGGGAAGGAGGCGGCCGCAGCGGACGGCCGCAGCGTTGGACGGCCGCGGGGCGAGAGCGGAGGCGAAGCCCACGGAGGGCAGTCATGTAAGCGTTTTTGTTGTTTAGTCGGGGCTTCGACGTTTGGCCGAGAAGGAAGGGGCGCCAGGACACACAAGTAAATACACGCAAATAAGAGGATTCCCCATATTTTCCATATTTTCTGGGTTTCTGTCTTCCCTCCCACTTCCCATGTTTTCCCATCTTTTCTGGGGAATCGACGATTCATTGTGTCTGTGTGTGTGTGTCCTTCCCCTCCTGAGAGAAGGGTGGGGAAGGAGGCGTCTGGGTCTGGGCCGGCGCTCAGTCGATCACCTGTTTTACCAGTCGCGCAGCCAGACTGGGGGGCGAGGGGCTCTGGCCAGCCGCCAGAAGGCAGAGGCAAAAAACAGCCAAGAGCTCGAGAATGGGGGGAGGGAGGGCGAGGAGGACGAGGGGGGACACGGCGCACACGGATGATGACGAGGGAGGGGAATGAGGACGAGGACGAGGAGGAGGACGAGGACGAGGAGGGGCAGGAGGAGGAGCCCGCGCCGATCGGCGACGCAAAACAGAAAAACAGCTACCACAGGCGGCGAGGCGCTGCACTGGGCGCTGCTTGATAGGGGGGGGCAATACATGGGGGGGAAAGGCAAAGAGAGGTGCACCCTCGTGACATGTAGGCTGGTTGCTCTGCCTCCTGTCCTTCGTTCCTCCGATCTCACTGCGTATGTTGCTGCAACGACCTGACGCGTTTCTCATGCCAACGCGTCCTGTCGGATGTGCGGATTGTCGGCGGCGGGCGAGGGGGGTAAGTGAGCAGGAGAAGGCCTTCTCAGAAGGTGCGGAAGTCCCCTGGCCTTCTGAGAAGTTGCCCAAGCCTTCCCCGTAGACACAGGAAACTTCTCGGCAGGTAGGGCTTCTGAGAAGTCCCGCCGCCTTGTGAGGAGGCCTTCTCCTTCTCACGTCACCCGCCCTCGCTCGCCGCCGAGATGGGGTGGACGGTCGGGCGGGGCGAAGGGTGCACCGCTCGTGCGCCTTCGGGGTCCCGGGGGTGGGCCCTTTCGGGCCGCTTTCCTGCAGCCCTCCATCCGCTCCCCCCTCCTGCCACTCTTTGTCGATCCCCCATTGACGAGACGCCGCGGCGATCGGCGGCGGGGGGCCACGTGCCGGTGGCAGCGAAAGGTGGGGCGTGAAGGGACAGGCTACGAGTGCTCTCCCTGTCGTCGTGCCAGTCCCAGCTGGCCTGCGTCCAAGGGCCCTCGCAATACCTCAGACTATCCATGGTGCGCGCACTCGCACACACACACACACACACACACACACACACACACACGCACACACACATACACACACAAACGAAACACACACACACACACACACACACAACCACAACCCACACACACACACACACACGCACGCATACACTCACTCGCGTAAACGCGCGCAAACGCAAAGTGCCACAATGCTATTCCAACTGCGCGATTCCTCGTTATAAGACTCGCTATGATGTCAAAGGCCTCGAAACAATTACCTCGCGATGGCGTCTTCGTCGAAACCAGTGCCGAATAACTGGCGCAATTCCAAGAAGACTCTCAGAAAGAGAAGCCCAACCCGCTCGCGCCCGCCACACTGAAGTTTACACGTCCGCCCTGCTATATATTCTCTCAAAGCTCATGTCATCACCTACACGTGCCACAGCGTCGACCCTGACGACAGCACATGTAGTTAAGAACGGCGCAAGGTGCAACGCCATCGAATATCAACTATGCTGGAAACAACCCTCGTCCTCCCCATGCTCCTCCGCGGACTCCTTCTCTTCCCCCTCCTCCCCATCACTCATCCTCCCCCCCCCCCTTCCTCCACCCTACCTCGCTCCGTCCACCTCCTCCTCCCCTCCCGCATGCTCTTTCCAGACATCGGCGACCGAAGCTACGAAAGCGCAAATACCTGCACGCCCTTTCAAATTTGCGGTGCAGCCTCCCGGGGCGCCCAATTGGCCCCCATCGCCATATCGCTGGTGCAGGACGCTCCACCTCGAGGGAAGAATCAGCTGGATAACAGTATCGAAGGAGAAAGTAACTACTCCAGATTTCGTAATAAAGGGAGGGGGGTCTCATTTTGGGGGGGGTCTCTTCCAGGCTATCTTGGAGGGCCTGGGGGGGTCTGGGGACGATGTTTTGGAGGGTTCTCCCACGGGGGAGGTCTGAAATGGCTTGTCTTGGAGGGTCCAGACCCCCTCCCTTTTATTACGAAATCTGGAGTAGAGGAGGAGGACATGATTGGAGGATGAGGAGAAGAGGAAGACGGAGGGAGCTGGACCCCAGGCACCGTATGCCGCTCCAGCCGCAGACGTGCCTGCAACCATGGCATCATGCGCAACTGGAGGCGCTCGCGAGCCCCCTGCCCAATCCCACGGATTCCTTTCTCCTCCTCCTCCTCCTCCTCCTCCTCCTCCTCGTCCTCCTCCTCCTCGTCCTCCTCCTCCTTCTCCTCTTCTCCTCCTCCTCCACCTCCTTCTCCCCGCTGTGCGTCTCCCCTATCGTCTTCCTCTTATTCCACCTGCGCATGATTCCACGACATAGTTCACTGAACCACGGCCTCCAGAACGCCCCAATGAACATCCTGACAAGTCGGTCTGTCAAGCCGTAAATCGTTGTCACACCGTAGGAGCCGTGGTGACAGTGGTCATCCTGCTGCTCCTGCCTAGGCCACGTCCCCAAAGGCAGAATAGGATCATGTAAACCATGAGGTTTGAAAGCCAACCAACAAACAATTACAAAAACTAAACAGACAATATATTCCAACAATTCTGGGCTGTTTGCTCCTAGGGCGTCTCCTTTGGGAACTTGACCAAAACGCCCTCTCTTATACTTCACAAGGAAGGAACAACAAGTCATCATGAGGATTACACAAGTTCATGTCCGTTCGGAACGCTCGGAAGCCAACCTGCACCAAGACGTGGCTCCGCGTCCTGTGCCTGACATCTGTTTTCCTCCTGCAGCCGTCAGATGTTGCTTCCACTTCGACTGTCTGGGTGTACCCACGCTTCTGTCCTGCGACTCGTGCCATCATCGCTGTCCGCTCCCCTGCCCGAGAAGACTGCGCGGTGCGCCCTGCACTCTGCAGCCCACACCCCGCCGCTCGCAGCCCCCCGCTGTGCCTCCGCTGCCGAGCCAGCCGCCCGCAGCCTCCGCTACCGCTGGGGCTGCCGGGAGGCGCGTCGCACCCGAAGGATCCGCCACGACCATGGTCGGGAAGTAGCCCGAGTTGTAGCCCGAGTTGATGTACTCGCGGGGAGGATGCCGGCGGAAGCAGAGCTGCCAATCGGCGAGGACGACAGGCAGGCCAGGGTGCGTCAGACAAAGGTACAGTGGGGAGCGCCCACGTGGAGCACGTGCCGCGGCTCACCTGGAAAACGTCTTGCCGGCCGACGGTTGCCAGGAGACACGCGGCCAAAGAGGAACCCAAGGTAGCTCAAGATAGCGCATGCAGCCCCGCGGATTGCTCAAGATAGGGAGGGCGCGCCACTGCTTTAACCCAGAGGGGGAACGACACCCTCCCTCCTATCCGGGCGGGGAGTTGACACTTCCTAAGCCCTGGTCTTCCTAGCCGAACCCGAACTCTGGGGCGCGCAAACATGGATTAGCGATCCATGGATTTGGCGCGCGGTCGTCTAATCCATGGATCGGGGGAGGTGCCATCCCCAACATGCGGCCGGCGCCGCCTCGCTCGGCGGCGGAAATCCACGATTCCCAATGAAAACGGGATCCGTCGCTAATCCACGCCCCCTTAATCCATGTTTGCGATCGCCTGACTAACACCCTACCCCTAACCCTCTAACCCGACAATTACCCCAAACCCAAATCCCACCAGCCCTTTGGGCGTGAGTGGTTTAGGGAGTCCGCTCTGTTCTCAACCCCCCTTCTTCCCCTTCGGGGAGGGGTTTACCCCTCCCCCTACCCCCTCCCCCTGGACCTGGAGGGGGCCTTCCGCGGGTGGTCAGAGGGTCCTTTTTCTATCCCTGGGAGGGCTAAAATTCGACACCCCTCACGAGGATCGTCGCCCCCAGGGGGGGGACACTGAAAAATGCTCGCCCCATCTGCGACCGATCGCCCCCAAGATGGCCTCATCAGGCCCCCAAGACGCTCCAAGAGGCGACCCAGAGAGCCTTCGGACGTTCCCCAGAGGCTCAAAAGAGAGCCCAAGAGGCCCCAAAACGGCCTCCAAGAGGCCTCCCTATTGCCTTGGATACGACTACTCCTCCTACTACTACTACTACTACTACTACTACTACTACTACTACTACTACTACTACTACTACTACTACTACTACTACTACTACTACGACTACTACTACTACTACTACTACTACTACTACTACTACTACTACTACTACTACTACTACTACTACTACTACTACTACTACTACTACTACTACTACTACTACTACTACTACTACTACTACTACTACTACTACTACTACTACTACTACTACTACTACTACTACTACTACTACTACTACTACTACTACTACTACTACTACTACTACTACTACTACTACTACTACTACTACTACTACTACTACGGGGGCCCGAACGACTCGCACCAGGACGAGGTGCCCGAACGCCTCACACCACGAGGAGCCCGAACGACTCACACCAGGACGAGGGGCCCGAACGACTCACACCACGAAGAGCCCGAACGACTCACACCAGGAGGAGGGGCCCGAACGACTCACACCAGGACGAGGCGCCCGAACGACTCACACCACGAGGAGCCCGAACGACTCACACCACGACGAGGGCCCCGAACGACTCACACCACGAGGAGCCCGAACGAGTCACACCAGGAGGAGGGGCCCGAACGACTCACACCAGGACGAGGGGCCCGAACAACTCACACCACGAGAAGCCCGAACGACTCACACCAGGACGAAGAGCCCGAACGACTCACACCACGAAGAGCCCGAACGACTCACACCAGGAAGAAGGGCCCGAACGACTCACACCAGGACGAGAGGCCCGAACGACTCAAACCACGAGGAGCCCGAACGGCTCACACCAGGACGAGGGGCCCGAACGACTCACACCACGAGGAGCCCGAACGACTCACACCAGGAAGAGGGGCCCGAAGGACTCACACAAGGACGATGGGGCCGAACGACTCACACCACGAGGGGCCCCAACGACTCCCACCAGTCGTCGTCGTCGTCGTCGTCGTCGTCGTCGTCGTCGTCGTCGTCGCCGCCGCCTTCGTCGTCGTCGTCGTCGACGTCGTCGTCGTCGTCGTCGTCGTCGTCGTTGTGGTCGTCGTCGTCGTCGCGGTCGATATCGTCGTCGTCGTCGGGTGCGTCGTCGTTGTTAGGATCATCGCTGTGGTCGTCGTCTCCGCTAAATCCCTCTTGCCTCCCACCGCTTTCTCTCCCTCCTCCTCCGCCTCGTCCTTCTCCCGCTCCCACCACAAGGAGGATGTACAAGGAGGCGGGAGGAAGGAGGAACAGGGGAGATATGCGGGGGCAGGCGGAAACACGCCTGAAAAACACGACTGTCGGCATGCTTCGCAAGAGTTGCTGTTTTGAGATGGGCTGGTGGGGATACGCGAAGCGTGAAGAATTCTAATCAGCACCCCGAATTCTCGTGATAAACCCTGTTCACCGAACCCCCACACCCTAATCCGAACAATCCAACCCGAATCGAACCGCACACATGACCTGAACAGTACTCCGAACACCTTACCCCCCTAGCCCGAACACCCAAATCCTGACCCTAAACAGGAAGCTTGAACTTAAAGCACTGACCCTAACGCCCTAACCCTAAGCACTCCCCTGCATCCTAGTCAGAACATCAATCCCTACACTCTAAAGCACTAAAACCTAAACAGCTTTACCCGAAGTGCACACCCTAGCCCGAAACCCTGACCATACACCCCAACCCTCTAACCACAACCCAAAACCCTGACAACAACCCTGAGCACCAGCACGAAATCCCAACAACCTATCCCTGACCCAACAACTAACCCAAACCATAAACCCTGGTCCTAAACCCTAGCCCGACACCATGACGACCTCACCCCAAAACCCTGAAGCCCTCAGACGCCCAACCACGCACTGCCCCAGCCGCTCAGCCGCCACAGGAGGGGAGGGCAGGGGGTGAACCCTCCCTCCCCCTCCCCCCTGGCTGGCGCGAAGGGGGGAGGGGGGGGGACCCTCCATGCGGGTCGAATCCCAACCAACTCCGAAGAATCCAAGCTGTTTTCTACGAATGTCAACTAGCACCGAAAGGCAAACTGGAACATTATCATCGTATGATCCTCTCTGTGGAGCGAAGACTATGCAAACAACCAAGTGACTCTTTTATATGCGTACAGCAGCTGCTCTGGGAAACAACATGCGTGTTCGAGTTGGGAGTCGGACACCTTCCGGTTGTGTGGTTGCGGTTGTGGGTGCAGTTGCAGTTGGTGTGTGGTAACACAGACGATACAAAACATGCAACGCAGAGGAAAACAACGCAGATCAGGAAAAGTTAACCCGTTCTCGCACACATACATACACACACATTCTCATACACAAACACCCACACACACATGCCAACAACACACGCAACCACATCATAACACGCAGTGGAACCTTCTGCACCACACTCTGTAGCGAGCACACTTCGATAATACAGATCCAGAACAAAGAAGTGCACCAGTGAGCTTTAAAACGCGCTAGTAGCTCGCACCACTGCTAGGCAACACTGTACATGGCATAGACACGAAGGCGTACATCAACCACCTACCACAAACAAACTATACGCAACAATACCACAACAATAACGTACATCCATGCCAACCATCACAAACATCTCCCGGAGGGGCGTTCTGACCAGAATGTCGAGGCGAATCCAGCGGTGGAGACGAGGGGAGGCCCAAAAAGGGGGAACACGAGGAAAAGGGTTGAGGGGTACCTGTTTCCTCCTCTGGCGAGCGGGGACAAGAAGGGAAGAGCAACCGCCCTCGGGGCAGACTGGCTCTGGCTTGAAGGGTACGCCCGACAGAAGGAGCGAACGACGCGCAAAGAGCGTCTCCAGGAACGGACGGGCCGTCTGTAGCGGGCTGCACGGGGCGACTGGGGAAGGGCGGGGACGAGGAGTGAGGATGACGAGAAGGAGGGATGAGGACGGGGAGGAGGGGCGAGGAGGATGACGAGGAGGGAGGATGAGGAGCGAGGAAGAAGGACGAGGAGGAGGGAGGAGGGAGGAGGACGACGATGGACGAAGAAGGACGAGGAGGAGGAGGAAGGACGAGGAAGGATGAGGAGGACGCGGATGATGACGAGGAGAAAAGACGAGGTAGGTCTCTGACGGCCCCGCTCGGGCCCCCCGGAAAGACCCCCGACAAAAAACTGGCCAGCGCGGGCCCCGAACAGCGCGTTCTAGCAATACGCGTTGTGCAGCTTATGTGGTGCAACGAATGTATGTTTGCAGTGTGTTGCCTACTCCTCTGCTCGCGCAACCATCCTGACGAACCACCCACAAGTTCGTTTGCAAAACACACGCGGTGGCGATTGCGATGGGTGTTTGGCGTTGGCTGGTCCATCTCTGCGGCCGCGCCAACCCGAACACGCGCGCGAGGCGGCCAGCTAGTTTGGCGCGACCGACGCGGCCGCGGTGGCGCTGACCGCTGGGCACATCCCAGCGGGCACTGCAATTCGAGTCGGCGGTTTGGGCGGGCGCAGTATCATGGTAACGTCGACAAATGTACACACGATGGTAATACTGGCGATGCTGGTGACGATGTTAACAACGACGACGGCACGGCCAGTGCGGGCGCCGATGCGGATCACGCCGACGACGATGACGGCGTCCTCGCGGCGGTGATGAAGGTTTTGGGAAGAATTCGACATGCGTGCGCGGCCGACGCGAGTGGCCCGCATGGTACGATTTGACACGGATCGTGCCTCATCAGCACGCGCGCTAGGGCGCGCGAATGATTTCGGCATGCGGCGCCAGAGACCCGTTTGACAGAACCCGATGAAACCTTGGAAAAAAACAGGCCGATGGTTTCCTGAAGAACCCGCAAAAACGCGAGCGCACGCTCCTTTGAAAACTGATGTTGCGAAAACAGATGGCTTCTTGCGGAAGCTAGATCTTGAAACCGCTGCGAAACCTAACGGTTTTGACGAATTCCGTCATGCGCGCGCGACGACGCGCGCGCGTGCATGTCGCTTCGTTTTTTGCAACGGATTCTTGCGGCGGCACTCGCGCAAGGGCGTGCGAACGATTTCGACATGCACGTACGCCGAGCC